TTTTACTCCTCCTCTTACTTCCTCTCTCTCTCCTCCCCACCCTTTGGCTCTTTCCTTTTGCCTTTACCTCTCTTCCTTTCCCTCTCCTCTGCCCACCATTTATCTCTTCTCTTTTTCTCTTCTTTCTTCCCTACCCTTCCTTTCCCTCTTCCCTTCTTCTCTTAACCGTCCTCTCACCTTTTCCCTTTTCCCTCTATCTTACCTTTCGCCCCTCCACACTTCTCCCCTTTCTCTCTTCCTTCTCCCCTTCCCCCTTGCTTTATTGTCCCCGTTCCTTAGCTCTCACCTTCCTCTTCCCCTTCCCCTTTCTCTTTTTATCTTTCTTTTTTTCCACTTCTCCTTTCTCTCACCCTTTTCCTCTTCCCCCTTCCCTCCTCCCCTTTTTCCCTTTTCTTTTTCCTCATTTTCCTTTCTCTCGCCCCTTCCCTCCTCCCCCTTTTCCCTTTCTTTTTTTTTCCCTTTTTCCTCCTTTCTGTCGTGCCTTCCCTCCTCCCCTTTTCCCCTTTCTTTTTTTTCCCTTCTCTCTTTTCTGTCGCTCTTCCCTCCTCGCCCTTTCCCTTTTCTTTTTCCTCATTCTCCTCTTCCTCCTCCCTCTCCTTTCTTTCCCCTTCCTCCTCCTTTTCCCTTCCTTTTTTCCCTTTGTCCTTTCTGTCGCTCCTTCCCTCCTCCCCTTTCTTTCCTCCTTTCTGTCGTGCCTTCCCTCTCCCCTTTTCCCTTTCCTTTTTCCCTTTCTCCTTTCTGTGCCCCTTCCCTCCTCCCCCTTTTCCCTTTCCTTTTTTTCCCTTTCTCCTTTCTCTCGCCCCTTCCCTCTGCCCTTCCTTCCTTTTCTTTTTCCTCATTCTCCTTTCTGTCGCCCCTTCCCTCCTCCCCCTTTTCCCTTTCCTTTTTTCCCTTTCTCCTTTCTGTCGCTCCTTCCCTCCTCCCCCTTTCCCTTTCCTTTTTCCCCTTCTCCTTTCTTTCGCCCCTTCCCTCCTCCCCTTTTCTTTCCTTTTTCCCTTTCTCCTTTCTCTCGCCCTTCCCTCTGCCCCTTCCTTCCTTTTCTTTTTCCTCATTCTCCTTTCTGTCCTTCCCTCCCCCCTTTTTCCCCTTTTTTCCCTTTCTCCTTTCTCTCGCTCCTTCCTCTGCCCTTCCTTCCTTTTCTTTTTTCTCATTCTCCTTTCTGTCGCCTTTCCCTCGCCCCTTCCCTCCTCCCTTCCTTCCTTTCCTCTCTGCCAGATTTTCGCCTTCCACTCTCACCAGGACCTTTAACGGCCTTTATACAGAAGAACTTCCAGCAAAAGTTCTTCCTTGAGGACTCTCTTGCTTCGCTATAAGTACGCACTTTAAATGTTTAAAAGAACGTCAAAGTGATTTTATTTTGTATTCATGAGAATGGTGTGTGTTGTGTGTGTGTGTGTGTGTGTGTGGATGTGTGTATATATGTGTATATATATATATATATATATATATATTATATATATATATATATATATATATATATATATATGTATAATGTAAATATATATACAGAGAGTGTGTGTGTGTGTGAGAGAGAGAGAGAGAGTAAATATCCGTTGATTAATTTGGTGTTTGTATTATGTTTCATTTTTCATAAACACGAACCACAAACGCATAACGCATACACACTTCATTCCCACGCTTGTAGCTTGTCGTATTTTGAGGGTCCGAGCCATTTGCTTTGCTCAACTTCCAACTAATAAGAACTTTCCTCTTTAATTCTTAATTGTCCCAGAATAAACAAAAGGCGTCCGGATGTCCTGGAAGAACAGGCAAAAGAAGTTTGAAAGAGGGGGGGTTAGAGAGAGAGGGAGAGAGAGAGAGAGAGAGGGGGGGGGACGAGAGACAGAGAGAACAGAGAGAGAGAGAGAGAGAAAGAAAGAGAGAGAGACAGACAGACAGACGGGGAAAGAGGGGGAGGTAGAGAGAGAGAGAGAGAGAGAGAGAGAGAAAGGGACAAGAAAAGTCTGAAAATTACTCAAACCTGTTATTCTGTGAGACACCGACCCCGTGCATAATTACGGCTGCTCCTAGCCGCGTTTTCCCCCCGAGGCTGGACTGGGGGGTGGGGGGGGGTCTCATTCTTTGATGAGGCCGATTGTGGGTCCGAGGCATTCACACGCGCACTCGCGGGTCTTTGCGTGGATGGGCGTATAAACATACATTTCTATTTTTCGCTCTCGCTCCCTTTTCTCACTCGCTTTTGCTCTCTCTCTCTCTCTCTCTCTCTCTCTCTCTCTCTCTCTCTCTCTCTCTCTCTCTCTCTCTCTCTCTCTCTCTCTCTCTCTCTCTCTCTCTCTCTCTCTCTCTCTTTCTTTTTTTCTCTGTTCTCTCTCTTCTGTAAGTTTGTACCCATTTATTTGTGTATATGGTCCGTGTAAGTAACCATACACGTGCACATGTACATATAAAGGAGAGAAGGAGAACAAACAACAAAACATGAGCTATGTCGAGTTTTTTCTTCCCATTTCACCAAACGCAGGTTACACATGTCTTTTTTTTGACCCTACAGAAACTGTGCCGCGGAACAAATTGCGCTTGCAAAGGATGCTCCATTGAACATAACATGAACACAAACGAGACGTTATTAAAGGGTGAATGCTTAGAGGGAAAGGTCACAGGTGAACCGGGCGACCACAGTGCTGTTTCAGGCAGAGTCCATGTCTTGTACAGATCACTCTCTTCCAAGTGCTTTTGTAAACACTAATGTCAAAAAAGAAGGGAAAAAAAAACTTTATATCCAGTCTACCACGGAGAGATATTTACTACTTTATTCGTTAATTTGTTCATTCATGCATTCGTTTTCGGGGATTTAATGATACTTTTGTTTGTTTATTTTTTGCGTAATGAGTCCAGGAAATGGGGAGCCGAGAGCGAATGCGAGATAGCAAATTCCGGGAATGCGAGCGCGATGAGGAGAAAGTTCTTCGTTGCCTTTCAGGGGAATTGTTGGTCATGATGGAGAGTGGAAGGGGTTATTTTCTTGTAAATACGAAGAAAGGAAACATATAAACAAGAAAAGACAATATTGGCTTACTTCGGTATTAAGGGAAAAGGGAAGCTATAGACAATAAAGAATGTTTTACTTTCAATACAAGTTAATCAACGTGGATAAACAAGCTAGCAAATAGACCTCAGAAAGGTTTACACAAGTTGGGCCTAAAGGCCCCAGAAATTTAGACGGCAATGATTCAACCAGACCGCCGTAGGGACAAAAAAGGGTAAAAATTAATAGAAACAACCCCTTTGTTTACCTCCCCTTCCCTCCCCTCCCATACACTCTCAACCTTTCCCCACCCCTCCTCACCTCCCCTATCACCCCACCCACCCGACCACTTTCCTCCCCATACCCCTACCCACCCCAACCCGCCCCCTACCTCTACCCACCCAACAACCCTACCCACCCCAACAACCGCCCTACCCCCACCCCAACAACCGCCCCTACCCCACCCAAACCCACCCCCTATCCCACCCCAAGAACCCGCCCCCCTACCCCCACCCCAACAACCCGCCCCTACCCACCATGATACATACAATGATTGTTTTGAATAATCAGAAAGATAAGGCATATCTCCCGAGACCGAGGAGATACGACGGAGGTATTTGAGAAGGTAATTCTTTTTAAGGGAAAAAAAAACCGGCGTCGAGGGTATAGAGCAATGGGGGTTGGGGGGGGGGAGGTTGAGCGAGCGCCTCGTGGGAAATCATGCGGAATATTACGGTAGACCTACGGAACTTGGCAGGTATGAAATTGGGTTATCTTCGGGTCAGGACCGATATGAAACGCCGGGGTTAAACAAAGACTAAGGGGAGAGAAGGGTAGGGAGGAGGGAAGGAAAGAGAAAGGGGGAGAGACAGACAGACAGATAGACAGGCCGAAGGGGGGCTAAAGGAGAGACTATAACGGCCGCATGAAGGTAACATGAATTAGAAATGATGCTTGAGTGTCATCTGATGAGCATGGATATTCCGTTTATTGCTGATAATACCAGAAATTAAGAATGTGGTGCATTTTTCCTTTTTTTACTCACCTTAAGATTATAAGTTAAATTCTGAACACATATATATATATATATATATATATATATATATATATATATATATATATATATATATGTGTGTGTGTGTGTGTGTGTGTGTGTGTGTGTGTGTGTGTGTGTGTGTGTGTGTGTGTGTGTGTGTGTGTGTGTGTGTGTGCACTTTTAAAGATGGTAATCTAAATTCGAAACAACAATAATAAGAATAAATACATGTTCTCTCTTCCCCTTTTTTTTACTCGAAACAAAAGATGAATTACCCAAGAAGCTTTTGTGTTCTTTTAACCCTGTTCTTTTTATATCGCTTGAGTGAAAAATGTTAAAGAGGCGGATTTTCATGTAGACAAGGGCGCAATGGAAGAGAAGCTCACATCAAAGTCTACATTTTTTGTTGTGATAGACAACCCTCAGGGGAGGCCGCAGTTCTTGTGAGAGGGCTCAGTCATGACAGGGGAGGCGGGACCCCCCTACCCCCCCCTTCCGCCTCCTTCCTCCTTCCTCCTTCCGTGTTCGTCGTCGGGCTTGAGACGTTTGCGTTCAGGGGCTAAGATTTACCTTGCATAATTGCGTGCAAGCGTGTGCGTGTGTGTGCATATATATATATATATATATATATATATATATATATATATATATATATATATATATATATATATATACATATACACACCACACACACACGCACACACACACACAACACACACCACACACACCACACACACACACACACATATATATATATATATATGTATATATATATGTATATATATATGTATATATATAATATATAATATATATATAATATATATATATATATTATATATATATATATACATGTGTGTGTGTGTGTGTGTGTGTGTGTGTGTGTATATATATATATATATTATATATAATATATATATATATATATATATATATATATATATATATATATATATATATATATATATATATTATGCATATGCATATGCATGTGTGTGTGTGCACATTTTCTTCATCCACTTTCCTCATTACTCTTCTTCCTCTTTTTTGATCTCCTCCTCCACTCCGCCGCCTTATTCTCCACCTTTTCTGTGGAAGCCACGTGTAACCCCTGAGATACGCTGGCGTCTTGGCCGTGCGTGGTGATGTAAGGCCTTGGTAATTCTTGATATTAGGTCTCTCCCCCCCCCCCCCGGCTTCCCCCTCCCGTCTTAACGCCCCCCCTCTCTCCCGAAATCCTCAGAAGAATCATAATTCCGTAAAATGGTTAGAGCGTACTGAGGGTTTCCATCAAAGAAAAATAAGCCTGGGTGTTTCCTTTGTCGTAGGAGGAGCTTCGCAATTTTCTTAATGCTCAAGAGGAACGAACGACGCAGGTTGCGGTCACTCTTGTATCTCTCATTTTTCCCTCTTTTCTGTTTTATTTTCCTCTTAATTTCGGGCAGCAGCAACATCCTTCTCATTTTCCCCTTTTTTCTGCTTTATTTTCCTCTTAATTTCGGGCAGCAGCAACATCCTTCTCATTTTCCCCTTTTTTCTGCTTTATTTTCCTCTTAATTTCGGGCGGCAGCAACGCCCTTACGACCGCTAGGGGAGTAGGCGTAATAACACACAGCCGCGATCTGGTTCCTGCCGAGGGATTTAAATGAAAGCGGGGTTGGCGTACCGTAGAGTTTTGTACCCTTGATTTGGTCTGAGGTTTGCGTCTCAGTGGAAATGAAATACGCGCATTTTTTTTTTTTTTTTTTTTTTTTTTTCAAGGCCAGCCGCTCTGCAAATGTACCGTGGAAGTAGGCGATGCTCTTCCCTGCTTCTGTGTACACATTTGTCTTCACGATTTACGAGAGATCCTAGAGGGCCTCGGAAGATACGAGGTCGGAAATTAGTACGCCGTAAACCGAAAAAAAGACATCCGACTATAAAGTATAGCTCAGTAATCAGATAAGGAACCTCCATCCGATTTTTTTTTCTGAATCACATCCAAAGAGCAACGACCCCACCCCGACCCTCCCCCTTCGCCCCCCCCCCTCCTCCTTTAGGAATCTATGCTCTGTATGGCTGCCCTGCAAAGCCATTGTCATGAGCTCGGAGTCGTCCTAAGAATAGGAGTGGAAAGCGACTTACATCTTCCCTTCTCCTCTTGAATGTCCTGCAACGGAACTTCTTTAGATGATTACTCAGGATTGTCTTCGTTAATCCGATAATGTTCTTGTATCCAGACAGCGTTCTTTTCCAACGGTTCTTTCTCATTCTTTTATGGCGTTGCCCCTTTTCTGCCTTTGTTTATATATTTATATAGTGTTCTCTAACTTTCTTTACTGCTGTGTGTTTTCACTTGATCATTTGAAAAAGGGATGGGACATTTTTTATCTTTTTTATTTTCTCGTTCTTCCCTTTCTTTCTCTTCATTTCCGTCTTCTTTCTCTTACGTTATTTTATATATTATGTCATCCCTTTTATTTTTTCGCCACCACCACCAACACCTTGTTATATTCTATTCTTATTCCTCTCCCGTCTTCTCTCCCATTCCCTCTTTCTCGCGGACTTTCACATGTCGAAAATCACAAAATATTTTTCCTATTTTTTAGAGCTCACAGAAGTTCATCTATCTCTTCTACAGCTTTGCCATTCTCAGAGCTTCGTTCAGTGATGGATGTTGAAAGTATGGATATACCCTCTCGCTTTCCTTTTCTTTTTTATTGCTTTCCCTATCTCACTCGTTCACTCTATCCCTTTCCCCTTTCTCTCTCTCTCTCTCTCTCTCTCTATCTCTCTCTCTCTCTCTCTCTCTCCTCTCTCTCTCTCTCTCTCTCTCTCTCTCTCTCTCTCTCTCTCTCTCTCTCTCTCTCTCTCTCTCCTTCTCCTTCTTTTTCTCCTCTCTTGACCTCTCTCTTTCCATGTCTCCCTCCCTTCCTCCCTCTTTCCCTCCCCCTCGCCTTCTGTCTCTTCCTCCCACTCTAACATTATTAACCTACTTACCTACCTATCTCTCTGGCTCTCTATTCCTCCATTTATCCGTCAACCCGCACATCTGCATCGCAAGATCCCACCCTCTCCATCTCCTCCTTCCCTTGTAGCACCTATCGCTGCAATACCGCGGTTGGAAATGGGGCGAGCGTGTTGGCAGAGCGAAGGAGGGGGGGGGGCGGAGTGGTCAATTGCGGGGTGTTATTGTTACCCTGATATTGTCTCTCACCGTGGCTCGCTGACCTTCATATTTGCCCAAGAAGGATACTCAAGGTGGGTTTGGGGAAGGGAGGATTTGCACGTTTTTTGTGGGGGAAGTGCGGCAGTGGAGGTGGAAGTGGAGAGAGAGGTGGAAATGGAGGTATAGATAGAAGTGGAGGTGGAAGTGGAGGTATAGATAGAAGTGGAGGTGGAAATGGAGGTATAGAGAAGTGGAGAAAATGGATAGATAGAAGTGGAGGTGGAAATGGAGGTATAGATAGAAGTGGAGGTGGAAATGGAGGTATAGATAGAAGTGGAGGTGGAAATGGAGGTATAGATAGAAGTGGAGGTGGAGATGGAAGTGAAGGTTGAGGTCAAGCCTGAGTATGAATATTGAGAAGGACGAGATCGAGGTCGATGCTGAGGTCGAGCTGAGGGAGGCAGCGGTTGGTGCCAAGTCATCGAACGGCGACCAGGGTGTCACCAGGAGCGAGGAGATTCATCAGTTACCCTCAGATTCAACAACTATAAACTTTGTCATATTTCTTTTCTCTCTCTCTCGCTCACGGGGCAAAAAGGACGAAAACCTGAAACGCCAAGAATGTCTTTGGTGTAGCGAGAGAGTTGGCTCTTGGGTTATATATACAGTGTGTTTTGCTGCTATACATTCTGGTATGTTTAGAATGATAACAGGGATTCTTTACTTGGGTTTGCCGTTTATCCATCCATCTGTCTATCTCTATCCCTTTTATAACATATATCTATTTGTTTATCTGTCTGTCTCCATCTGCTCATTTAGCCTTCTACGCGCACACATAAATTTGTGTATGTTTATACGTACATACATACATACATATTTATAAATATACATACATACATATACATAGATATACATACATACATATGTATATACATATATATGTATATGTATATGTGTGTGTAGGTTCATTTTTCTGTTTATTTGTGGCCTATAGATTTATGAATAGATATTTTAGTTCGAGGACCATTATCTGGTCACATTTTTTCTCAAAGATTCTGATCCTGTCTGATGATAAATGATCGAAGACTAAGCAAGACTAATGATCTTATAGGTAAGGCGTAGCGAATCCCCCGTCGCTTCAGCCTGGGCTTGTCATCTGTAGGCTGCCAAGTTGATTAACTCTAAGTAAAGATGTGCTGGATACCGAGCCCGCGTTTTTTTTTTTTTTTTCTTTTTTTTTTTTAAGGGAAAGGAATTCGATGTAGCTCTATTTACCTCTCTCTCTCTCTCTCTCTCTCTCACTCTCTCTCTCTCTCTCTCTCTCTCTCTCTCTCTCTCTCTCTCTCCTCTCTCTCTCTCTCTCTCTCTCTCTCTCTCTCTCTCTCTCTCTCTCTCTCTCTCTCTTCTCTCTCTCTCTCTCTCTCTCTCTCTTCTCTCTCTCTCTCTCTCTCTCTCTCTCTCTCTCTCTCTCTCTCTCTCTCTCTCTCTCTCTCTCTCTCTCTCTCTCTCTCTCTCTCTCTCTCTCTCTCTCTCTCTCTCTCTCTCTCTCTCTCTCCTCTCTCTCTCTCTCTCTCTCTCTCTCTCTCTCTCTCTCTCTCTCTCTCTCTCTCTCTCTCTCTCTCTCTCTCTCTCTCTCTCTCTCTCTTCTCTCTCTCTCCTCTCTCTCTCTCTTTTCCTCTCTCTCTCTCTCTCTCTCTCTCCTCTCTCTCTCTCTCTCTCTCTCTCTCTCTCTCTCTCTCTCTCTCTCTCTCTCTCTCTCTCTCTCTCTCTCTCTCTCTCTCTCTCTCTCTCTCTCTCTTTTCTCTCTCTCTCTCTCTCTCTCTCTCTTCTCTCTCTCTCTCTCTCTCTCTCTCTCTCTCTCTCTCTCTCTCTCTCTCTCTCTCTCTCTCTCTCTCTCTCTCTCTCTCTCTCTCTCTCTCTCTCTCTCTCTCACACACACACACACACGACCACACACACACACACACACACACACACACACACACACACACACACACACACACACACACACACACACACACACACACACACACACACACACACACACACACACACACACACGACAACACAGAAACCCATCCTAAAAAGTTCCAATCTCACACTGAAAACCAATTAAGGAATGCTGTAAATTCGAAAAGTGGAACTCAGTTAAACAAACCTGTCAAGACGAACATTCTCCCGACTCCAAAGCGACATGTGAACGAGCTTAAACCGAACATAACGAACCACGCTCGTTGGCCGGATACCGAACACTCCCGAAAGGCCACTCCGGTGCGATTTCTCCCGACACGAAACATAAGCAAACGAATTATTTGTTTCATTTCGGGAGTCGTCGACGGTTCGAGACGAAGAGCGAAAATAATATGCTTCGTAATTTTTTCTTTTCTTTTTTTTCGTGTGTTTTCTTTTTTTTTTTTATTCACGTCATATAACTGACATCCGTTGCCAAAAAGAGAGGGAAAAGCGCCTTGGACATCTATTATCGACACGACATCATTGCTGGTTAGGCTGTCGTCCTGTGAGATGCTGGGGTGAGGGGAGGCGGGGGAGGGGCAGCGAAGGGGAGGGAGAGAGGGTAGAGCAGCTAAAAATAGTCTGGGTTAGATGTGTGTGTTTGTATTTGCTTGTTTGTTTTCGTGCGATTACTTGTGTATGTATGCTAGATTGTGTTTGACTATTTGTCTGTCTGTTTAAGGCTTTATGTCTATGTCTAAAGTATTTCTATGTCTACTGTGAGATCTATGCATATATGTATGTGGACATATATAGCGAGAGACAAACGTACAGGTAGACAAAGAAAAAAAATATATATTTCTCAACGCGAGTGTAAGCGTGCGTGAATCTTAA